AGCAACCACATTATGTCTTTTCCATTTATTCTGCCAGACAATTCCATGCAGGACTGCCAGTGTATAATTTGCAAGTACCACATATACCTATATGCATATACCTCCACTGACATCTAACTTCCTTTTAGAATAGGAATACCGTTATTCTGGGAATATTGGTCTCCCACTAGTGCCGCTGTTTTGGAAGACTGTGAAACCTTTTAGGGGTGGACCTTTGCTGAAAGAAATATTTCTGTGACTAATTTAAATATATTTCATAACCTGCAAATGTTTGAAATTTAAATGAGAATGTATGCTGAAACATCATTTTCAGTGACACAAGAATAATAATGTAAGGTCGCCAGCAGCTTCAGTTCTATGTGTTTCCCTAAAATAATTTCCTTTCCCACTTTGCTGTGTCACTGTCCTGGGAGTTTATTCCTCTGGTCTTCAATTTGTCAATTGTCCCGACAGCAGATGAACCTACTCCTAGATAAGGTTGCCTCAGTGCTTGGTTTTGTTTTGATGGTCTGGATTTACCTTTACTCCTTCTCCTTCCTTACCATTTCCTCTTCCCCCTACTTTGTCTCCATGAAGTTTCCTCATAGACAGGAGACTACTTACAGGGCATTCATCTCTCCCAAGCTGTTATACCCCATTTTGAAGTTGGGTCCTCACAAAGACACAATCCCAAATCCTTTCCTGTCCTCAGACTCTCTTTTACTAAGTAAAGTCATGCTGACTATGCTCCTGCAGACTTTCTTCCTTACTTCAGGGAAATATGTGCACAGCTAAAAATATAAACATGTATTAGCTCTTGGCATAAGCCCTGTTTTAGGATGAATCTCAATTTCATTGCAAGGTGTGGGATTGTAGCCACTTCTAACTCCATTAAAGATTAATTCCCCCCCCACACTCCTTGATTGTGTAATGTTTGAGTGAAAACAGTGAGCTAACCATACTTTCACTCAATCATTTGTTATAATCCATTGGAGATCCCCAATCTAACTGAGAATGCAGTGGGAATGCTCTTTAAGAAGACTATTGTAGCAACCTTCTGAGGAACTGATTAAAGTAGTGGGCTGGCTAGTTTTATGTCAACTTGGAAAACTTAATTAAGAAAATGCCCCCACCAGGTAGCCTGTGGGTAAGCCTATGGTTCATTTTCTTAAATGATGTTTAATATGGGACAGTTCAGATCACTGTGGGCTAGTGGTCTTGGGTGCTATAAGAAAGCTAACTGAGCAAGCCATGAGAGGGTAGCCAGTAAGCGGCACTCTTCCCACGGCCTCTGCTTCAGTTCTTGCCTCCAGGTCCCTATCTTGACTTCTGTAGATGATGGACTACAAGTTATAAAATGGAATAAACACAACAACACTCCCTATATTGCTTTGGTGTCGGGACCATTTTTTTTTTTTTGGCGTTGAACAATCTTTGAAGGGAGGAGTGAGGACTATGAAATAATAGATATGAAAAATAGAGATGTAAACAAAGAAAAAGACAGAGACACAGGATAGCTTTGGGAGGGCTCTGGGTCAATACCACAGTCACCTCGAGTTTATTCCTAATGGGATTTTTATATACCAACAAGGAGAGAGCCAAAAGACCTCCCCCTTTAAAGGTCAAGGTACAAAGTACAAACAAGTGTAGACCCTTCCTTAATTTTCAAAACCACGCCTTACAGCAAGGCATCTTTAATTAGGCCTGGAAGTGTAAGACACCCGGTAACCATACATTTGACCAAAACATTCTACTCTGCAGCCTTGCGGGGCAAAGCAAACTCAGACTCTCTGACCCTGAGTCAAGATGGAATAAGGCCACACTAAGGAGTCTCCATGGGTCCCCATACTTGGGGTCATGGTGTTTTATCACAGCAGTAGAAACCCTAAGACAAGTGGGATATGGTGACATACCAAAATCTCTTTGAATAAATTAGATTGTCATAGTCCAATGAAACTTTCTGCAGTTGTGGAATTTGTCCACGTCTTCATTGTCAGTACAGAAGCCACTAGTTATATGTAGCTATGAATCACTTGAATGAATTTATAAGACTAAAAAAAATTAGTTTTATTTTAATTAATTCAAATTTAAATTTATAGGGTCATACACAGCATATGGGTACCACATTAAACAGCAGATCTAGGCAATATAAAAAATAAATACTGTACACGATAGCCAAGGAAATGGAAATAAAACGGGACAATCCAGCAATGTAATGGAAAGAGACAATGCTATTGTCAAAGAGAGAAAAGAAACATTTCAGTAATTCAAAGGTAGTGTGCTCAGGAGAATAGGGAAGTGAGTGGTACCAGAAAAGTTAGGCTATTTTGAAATTCAGGTAGTTTAACAGGTTGAGTTTCCAGTGGTAAGGAGACTCCCAAGTAGAAACAACCAGCAACAATTAGAATTTTCAAACCGCATGGGGTGGGGGTGGGTCAGAGCAAGACAAATGAACTATTTTTTTCTTGGACACTGTCCTAAGGGAGTCTCCTCTGCTGCTGTGTGCCCCCTTTCCGAGACTGCCTCATCCTCCCCCACATGGAGAGACCCTGATATATGGCATAATAATGATGGTGCAGAGAAATTACTATTTCACCCACTGAGTGATTAATATGAAATTAGTTGCTGCCACCCTCAGTAGTGCAGAGGAGATTGAGGAAGAATTGGTTTTGTTTTAGCAAAGAAAAATACAAGATCCAACACTGCTCGGCATACGTGGAGAACTTTTTCATCTAGGAATCTCTACACACTTAGCACGCTTAACTAAATTGCAAACCTCAAAGAAAGACAGAGATGGAATAAGAAACACAGAGCTCAGTGTTCTATTTCTGCTATTTTAAAAAATCAGGCTTGGTAATTTCATCTTCCATTAATACACAAGTATAGCCCCACGTGGCGGCCAGGAGGTATTTATCTTTCTACTGACTGATTTCTCTCAAGGCATCGCACTTATGAGGGAGAGGGAACATACAGAGTCCCACCCTTGGACTTTCCTGGTGCCTTTTACCTGATTTACAACGGAAATCCTTCCCTACCCTTGTAGTACAGGAAGCGTTCTCTGATAAACCAGTCTGCACCATCCCTTGCAAAATGATAACTCTTGGCATAATGCCCATTTTAGGCTGAGTCTCAAATTTCATTGGAGCAGGCTGTCTTATCAAAAATTATTCAAAACAAACATCCATGACTCTGGGACTAACATGCATGGAAAGGAGATAGGCAAGGCCCTTTAATGGGTGCCCTCCTGTGTAATCTTTTCATCTTAATTCAGAATCCCTCAGAGACTCACACTGCCTTATGCAAAAAATATAAATCCTTCCCATTATCTACACATCAGGTATAGTTTTAGCTTAGTCAAAACAGATAGGCAATAATGTATCCTGGCGTTTATTTTCATCTGTTGTGACATCCCCCCCCCCCCCCCGGCCAGGTAGATGCTGTTTTTCCATTCTATGCTACTTTCTAATTGTTTTATTTTGTTGTTTTTTCTTTCTCTTGCCCAATTTCTTCTCCTTTCTACTGAAAAAAAAAAACCTAAAATACAAACACTGTCCTGTCACAAGAAAAAAAAAATACTTGAAAGATCACAGCTTCTAAAGATTTTGACAAAGGGTTTAATGTTTGGAAAATGAAAACAGCTGCCACATACAAAAACAACTGTATTTGTTTGAAGGGAAGTTAATGGGGACTTCAGGTCTTGTTATAACTGGTCCAGGGCTTCTCTCTGTATCTCCAGGCAAACATAGACCTTTCACTGTTAGCCATAGCCCTCTTACCTTCTCTGAGTCATTCTTCCTTGAGCATCTCTTTTATGTTTTTTTTTTTTTTTTTAGAAGGGTTTCTCTGTGTAGCTTTGGAGCCTTTCCTGGAACTCACTCTGTAGCCCAGGCTGGTTTCGAACTCTCAGAGATCCGCCTGCCTCTGCCTCCCGAGTGCTAGGATTATAGGCGTGCGCCACCACTCCCAACCCCCCGGCCTGAACATCTGTTTAGATACCCGAGTCAGGATTCTCTTACTCTCTCATCCCATATAGCCTACATCTTGTAGTCTCCAGGGTAAAAGGTTAAAGGGCCACCGTATACCATTCACATCACCACTGTCCAGTAGGACATCCTCATGAGTTTTCTGTCTTAGTATACTAGTGGGAGTTGAAGAAAACCAATAATGCTCTCCAGATAAATTCTCACAATTCAGGTGGGTATAGAATCCACATAAATATATTTTCTGCTCCATGCATAGCATCCACATAAATATATTTTCTGCTCCATCCCCAGTAGTCTACATATTGTCACTGGCTAGCAGTAACATTCTGCACTATCACTTAAAGCTTTAGGGGCTATGGAGTTCTGCCAGTAATGAAGTTTAATTCACTTATATGTGCCAATTCATCTCTGTCACAAGCCTATTAATTTCTTCATTATTTTACTCTGTCCCTAGCCCTTGTACAATGAGGCACAATGATCCCCATTTGTGTAACAAAAAAAAAAAAAAGGACTTGGAGTCTCTTATAAATTAGCTTCAATTCTGCTGCTTTTAGTGACCAGACAGTCTCTGTATTTCTTTTTCATATTTAAATCAATTTTTTCAAACTCTTCTTTAGAAGAATACACTGAAACTCTGGAGTACTAAAGAGTGAAGTCATAGCAGAAGTATAGGATTCTGATGGGCTCTCTCCCATGCAGGCTTGTCCCAAGAAAGGCTTTCATGGCATCTCTTCCGAGGTGTACTATTGCCACAGCACAGCTTCTTTGTAGGGAGGGACTTCTGTCAGCCCAGTCCTCAGTCAGAGAAGTGTCAGAATACCTATAGCATTGCTATCAAAGTGAGGACTCGGTGACAAATAAAGGTCATGGATTTGAAATTAATCCTCTTATGCTGTTGGCATTTCTTCATGGCGTGATCTTGAAGGCACAGGGAGGTGACAGCTAAGCAGTTAGCAAGAGTTAACAGAGATCCTGGAGACTGTTCCATTGTTTCAGCATCTGAAATTCACATTATGTTATCTCTTCTATATTTCTCAGGATCGGAGCAAAACATCAGGAGCTAAGAGAAAGGCAGGCAAGAGGCCTTGTTGATTATGCCACTGGAGCAATTGGATCAGTGCACGATATGGACGATGATGAAATGGACCCCAATTATGCCAGAGTGAACCACTTTCGGGAGCAAGGCACATCAGCGAATGCCTTTAGATCTCCGTCTCCCCCTCGAGCTGGATCACTTGCTTACCCTCAGGATGGACGTCCACTGTCTCCAGACAGAGACCACTTAGAGGGTCTCTATGCCAAGGTCAACAAGCCATATCATCCTCCAGCCCTAGCTGACAGGTAATATTAGTGAAAGATGAATGCAGTTTTAATTCAGTAAGTTTCAAATCATCTCTACTGCTGAAGCAAATAAAAAATGTATCCTTCAATCTATTAAAACTGAAATGACATGGTGCCCTAGACAAGTGTTCTGCTTTGACCTACCAGTAAAATATCAGTCATCAAAAATAAAGCAATAACTAGTTATAAGGTGGCATGGATGGATGGTATCAGTAGAGTGCATGGCACAAGGGCAACAATCTTTGCAGAAATACCGTGGCAGAGAACTAATGATGAAGACTTGGAAGACATACTGTCCTTATCCCAAGAGCCCTATTGTAAAACACATATTCCAGAAGATAGCATGAAACTTGGAGGCGGGGAGTCAGAGAAGGGAAAATGGCTTCCAAGTAGGTGTAATTGGAGTGGGATTACAGATAACTACCGCAGTGTAGGAGACTTTGAAAAATAAGATTGGGATTTTATACTCAAGGAAAACTAAACTGCCTGGCTATTCGCTGATGAGCGGAGGTGGGAAATGAGACAATCTTGGTCCTAGGAGTTTGATGAAGTAGAGAAAGATAGGACATGACCTGTAGGTTTAGGAGCAAGGGAAAGAGATATTGGGAGCATCTGTCTGAAGCAAATAAGGAACAAGATGATTCCAACCACACCTCTTGCCCAAAGAAAAATGTCCTGTCTGGGGAGAGGATGGTCTAAAAGAACTTCGGTCCGTATGCATTGTCGAGAGACCTTGGAGTCCCACGTTCCAGGTTGATGGACCGGGCTCTACTCTGTCTGCTACTGCTTGAAATCTGTAGGGAGGGGGTGAAGAAGAAGGCACAAGAAGCTCTCATTCTAGATGGAAGAAAAAGACTCATTTTCCAGATTTCAGGGTTCTGACAACCACCAGGTCCCTAGCAGTAGCCAGCTTTTGTGTGATAGCATGATATATTGCATATGTTTACCGTTTACACATTTCCCCAGCTGGGTGATATTATGCACTTTCAATTAGGTTGGGGAGAGGAAGGGAAATCATGGCATTTTTATGCAGACTGTAAAGTGTAGCTTCACAAGACTGATTACCTTTCAGAACCTTTCCAATAACCAAGAGGGAAGCGAGGAGCAATTTTTAATCCTTACTGTCAAGCTTCCAGGTTGATAATATTAAAGAAAGATGGTCAAGTTTTTCGTTAGGACAAAATGAAAATATAAATTCCTATGACTGTGTGATACGGCCATCATAAGGAAATTGCTAATTCCAAGGATTGATTAAGAGTTGGCCTTTTTCTCTCCAGCCTTCACGTAGGGTTGAATTTTATCATGTAAATAATAATACTATACTAGAGTCTATTCTAGGCTAAAGCATAGTCAATCTTCCTTTCTCTAAGTCAGAAAGGGCTTCGTAGCAATCCTCTTTGCATGTATCTGATAGAACACCAGCACATAAAGACTGTATTTCTCAGACCTTCCCACTCTGGTGTGGCCCAACACTAGTTCCATGGGAGTAAATGTGAGGCATTCTGAAAGAAGAGATTTATACCAAACCCACATGCGGAATTAAACTACAGAAACAGGTTTTTCTTTTAGTGTAGTCTTTTCATTTTTGCCTGATATGTTAACATGTATTGTTGGCCTCCAAGAATACTATACAACCAGAACTCATCATATTTGTCACCTAAAGTGACACCATATTTTTCTAAGATTCTGGATAGCTTAGATTCCTATCTCTGTGACAAAATCCATGAGATTAGACAACCCAAAAGAAGAAATCTTTATGTTTGTATGTGGTTTTCGGGGTCTCAGTCCGTGCTGTGGTCACTCAGCCAAGCTGTTTCTGGGCTCCACATCATGATGCAGAGAATGTGTTGGGGGAACCATACTTATCTAGTGACTGCCAGAGGCAGAGAGGGTCTGGGGAGAGGAGCAGGGATGTAATTAGCCCTTCAGAGTCACACCCTTTATGATGGTTAATATGGATTGTGAACTTGACAGGGTCTAGAATCGGGACATATCTATGAGGGAGTCTTTATATCGGACTAATTGAGGTGGAAGGAGCCACGCTAGAGAGGCATCAGCAAGTATGTCACAGGCCAGAATCCCATACTAAATTTAAAAAGGGAGGAGCAAGCTGAACAGTAGTGTTTATCTCTCTGTGCTTCCTAATCCTGTGACCAGCTGCTTGGCTTTCTGTCTCATCATGTCTCCATCGTGATAGACTGACCAAACCCCCGAACTGTCAGCCAAAGAAACTCTTCCCCCGTTTATGCTGCTTCTTGCCAGATATTCGGTCCCAGCCAAGGGAAGAATGACAGATGTCCCCTCCCCCAAGAGCCTTACTTCCTCAAACTTGGCTCCACTTCTGAACATCTATGACCTAATCAACAGATTAACCCACTGACAACGTTGCCCTCTCCCTGTGGCCCCCGCTACACACACTGCTGTCCTGGGACCAAGCCTTCAATACTGAATCCATAGAGGAAATTTTCAGTTCTAAACCATAACACACACGTGGACACACTGTTCTAAGTTAATTTTTACCCATGTAGGTAAACCAGGAAAGAAACCTCATTGGATAATGTTAAAGACATCAACTATAAAATGCTGCCAAAAAATAATTTATTTATTGCCAAGCCCAGACATCTATATGAGTAATGGAGTCTTAATTTTGGCTCTGGCCTCCTTGTGTTAATAAATGCTCCAAATCTGCCTTCTGCAGAGCTTTTAGACAGCTGTTAAATTTTTGGACAGCAGATCAAAGAATAACTCTTTTTACCCAGAATTGTCTTGATTCTGCTCTTATCTTTAATTATATTTAAAGTCTGCTCTGTTCCTTTTTCTTGAAGTCTTAAAGCACGCAATTTTGCCTTGATGCATAGTAAGCACTAGATAATAGTAGCTATTATCATCATGGTTACAGTTATGACCACTCGTACTGTCCTATAGCAATGAAATTCTGGGCCCACGTATGTCTAAGATTTCCTTTGGGCGGTATTCCAAGCAATGTCTCCAAGCAGACACTATGAGTTCTAAACCTACCTTATTTTAAAGTAAAGGGCATATCACTTACCCACCTATCTGTTCAATCATTCTTCATTCAATAAGCATTTATTTGGTAACTGCTGTGTTCTAGATAGTGTAGGAAGTTCCAGGGAAGCTGGGAAGATGATCATGGCTTATAAGTGAGGACTAAAGGAGATCCTCTTCTAGTCAGTAGAAATCCAAGACATATGGAAATGGAGAGGTGTAATATCCTATAATAAAGGCGAAGGCTTTTCTTTCTCGTTTGGGCTACATACAGAAAGTCTTCCTCAGGCAAGTGATAGTGAAGCTGGCCGAGCGGAAGGGATCCTCACGCATTGATCAGGTACAATAGGGTAACGGTTTTCCCTTACCAAACCATCAAGTGTGGACAGGGATCACGTTGTTAGAAAGAGCATGCATTTAAGGAAATCCAGAAATACCCAAAACATCGCATGTGGGGAGGAAGGAACGTGAAGGGAGTGTGGCTGCACAGCACACCTTGAAGTCGTTGTGTGAGTGAATAGGTCGAGTCTTGTGTTGATAATTATTTGTTGATAGCAACTGCCTAGAAGTCTGTGGTAAGAGCATTCTACAGCTGTCTAACTCAGGCTCCAGAAACCTGGGTGGCAGCATGTGTACAGTGGAGAGTGGTGTGTGTCCCAGTGTCATGATTGTGTCCACAGAGGTCAAAAGAATGAAGCCCACAAAGAGAATGTGGCCGCTAAAAGGTCAGTGGTTAACTGAGCGAGGACAGTGTCAGTAGTTTGGTAGGAGCCGAGGTCACTTATGATGAGAATTGGTGAGGAGGTCAGAATGTAGAGAGTAAGCCTCATGGTAATGAGAAAGCAGAGTTGTGGGGTGGGAAAGACTGCCTTTGAAGTCGGGTCTAGGATGGTGCTTCAACGCTAGCTAGCAAAGTCATCTCATGGTAATGCTGCTGAAAATGAGGCTCAGGGAGTGTGAGTAACTGGCCCAAGGTTAGGACTTCACTCTAGACCTCCCTGTACCATGTTCTTTTCCCTAAGCCACCCTGTCACTTAGACACACCATCTCCCTTCCTAGTACCGTATGCAAATAAAGTGGCTCAGTTTGGGTTCTTAACATGTTAATGGTATGTTAAACCATGACTTCTGGAATGGGGCTGATCTGAGTCCGGTTCATGTCCAGATTACTACTGCAGGAACTTCAGCAAAATATCTTTCCCAAGACGCCATGTCTCATCCTCATGCACACAATGCAGCAAATACTTACTGAGCATCTACCAAGAGCCTGGACTGGCGATCAGTCCTGAGCTCATCGAGGAATGAGGGAAAATGGTACATTTCACCTTATAAAGGGCTGCTGTACGTTAAAGACACATAGATCTTAGCAAAGACAGTGGTGGACACATGGTAGTTACCACAGCTGGGCTGTTAGGTTCCTGAATAGGGAAGTATAGGTGAAGGTCAGAGACAGGAAGTGTGGCATGTGAGAGCAGGGCTTCTTCAACTCCACTCATAACTCTTTGACATCCAAGATTTTTATGTGACCCCCAAGCATGTAAGTAATAAAATACATATACAGTAAGTGAAACACTTACTGATAATATATCATAAATAAGTTTATTTTAAGATGATTCCTTATGTATAATTTTACCGGGCATTAAAAATGGAAGCAGATATGCATGCTAATGAGATGAATGCTTGTTTATTTTACATAAAGATTTAAATCCTGGCTGAGTATTTGATGCTATAGGACATAAAGCATCTTCAAAGTTTTTTAGAATTGATCAATACTTTGATTTTATAATCGTCAATGCTGAGAACACCACTTCACATAAATGCATAGCACGAAATGACAGAAGTATGCTTAGGGCCCCCTTTTATATATTTATGTTGGAAATTCTGTGCTCATCACAGGCCAGAATTCATATAATGATTTTTTTTCTGTGAAATTCAAGTCAGCAACTCTAACATCAATTTTTTCAAATCAAACATTCCAACAAAATACAGTTGAAA